CGGATCTCTCTCTCTCTCTCTCTCTCTCTCTCGCAGCCACTACGATTGTGTATAAAACGAACAAGCAGACTCCTGCCTGTCAGGTGGAAGCAGTCGGGCATCTGTACTGCTGCTGGAATGCTTCAACACACCTCCAGTAATGGCGCATCCCTGCCATGTACTCCTGGCTCCGCTTGCCCATCTGCAGGCCCGGGGCTGACATGGCGGATGCAGACAGGTGGAGGGGAGGGAGGAGAGCGGACACACTTCTTGCTGTGATCCAAAAAGCAACGAGTATGACGTCACTTTCCTCAGCTGGAATTGCCATGGAGGAATGTACTGCAATGTGATTTGCATGGCAATACATTCAGCGGACCACAGAGGAGGCATGCCGGGTCTTTTAGACCATGCATGTCTTATTAAAGAGAACAGTCACCAAAAAAATCATCACATGGGGGAAAAAACCCAAAACAAAAACAAAAAGATACACCCAAGCACATAACATCCCCCCACCTCTCCCCCCCCCCCAAAAAAAAAAAAAATCTAAGGCCCCCCCACATACACACACATTACCACACATGCCAGGAGCACTAGCAAGTGACAAGTTGACTGCGATACTAAGTACATTTCGCCACACACACGTCAGAGTGAGATCAATAATTCTAGCACAAGACCTCCTCCGTAACACCAAACTGATGACCTGTATGGGCTTTTGAAGCGTCGCCTATAGAAAAATATAGGGTACTGTAGTTTGTCGCCATTTAGCGGGCGCACACGAATTTAAGATTTGACATGTTGAGTATGAATTTACTTAGTGCAACCTTGTCTTCTATATTTTACCAATAATTTGGTTAATTCATTGTGTCCGTTTGCCCTAAAATTCACTTTAGTGTGTTTTTTTGCAGTAAACCGCATTCCCTGAAAGGCAATGGCATAATGTTTTAGTATGCATCGCATACTAGCACATTATAACGAAGTCCTCCAGCGGCGCACTATCACCGCTGTAAAGGCTTCCATCTTCACCCGGTCTTCCATTCGAGTTCACGAGCTCCGGCCATCTGCCTGGCTGAACCGCGGTGAAGTCACTCCCACGCATGCGCACAAGAGTCACGGGCCACAGTGCTCTGAAGGAACGCCACGGGTATGCTGTTCCTTCAGAGTGCATGCCCCAGATAAAAAAAAACAAAAAAAAAAAAAACAAAAACAAAAAATGAATATCTCCTAAACGGTGCATGGTTAGGAGATATAATAAAGCTTACCTATAGGTAAAATTAATAAACTTGCCTTATTTTATATTACTTGTAGGTAAAAACTAGCAAAGTGGGTTTACTACCACACTTTATGTTTTGGATGAAGTTTTGCAGATATTCCCTCAATTCCATGGTTAACCCTTCACTCCTAAGACTGGGAACACAGTGATTTTGGTAGTGCGACACCTCCATTAAAATTACTAAACAATCACAAACTGCTCCAAATAAATTGATATTACATACAACTAAATGCTCACAACACTAGAAATTAACTCCAGGCAATTTTAGTCTTACAACCACAAATCATCTGTGTTTGCCAAGTCCAAGAGGCTTTAGAACATCCCCAACAGAAGAAATATAATATAGGGACTAAAGCCAGCCATACATGGATCGTAGTTCAGCAGGAAGCATTCAAATTTCAATCCATGTCTAGGCACCCTGGTTGAACACCAATTGATCTAAGCGATCAACTTGTGTACAACCAGCCTGTCAGATTTTTCCCCAAAGGATTAGTGCCACTAGCTATAGTCAGCAACACGAATTACATTGCTCTGTCAGCAAGGAAGGCTGACTAACTGTGTTGATGGAAATCCAGCAATTTTCTTTTCTTCCACCACTGGATATGACATGGCCTGCTTTACTCTATATGCTCAACATTTGTGGACATCTGATCATCTGATCATATCAATACAAGCTTGTTGGACATCCCATTCCAAAATCATGGGCTTAAATATGGAGTCCCCCAACTGCTTTGCAGCCAACAGACACCACTCTTGTGGGAAGACGTCCCACAAAAATTTGAAAGCGGGTCTGTGGTCATTTCTGCCTTTTCAGCCAAACATAGCATTTGTAAAAAGGTACTGCTGTTAAGTGAAAGACGTGGCTCACAATCAGCCTCCAATTCATCCCAAATGTGTTGAGTAGAGATAAGGTCAGAGCTCTGAGCAGGTCACTTGAGTTCCTCCACACCATACTCATGAAACCATGTCTTTATGGGCCTACAATAGTGAGCAGAGGTACAGTCATGCCAGAACAGGAAAAGGACCTTCCCCAAACTGTTGTCACAATGTTGGAAGCACACAATGGTCTAAAAGGTCTTATTACATTGCAACATTACCAACTTGAGTCCTGGGCGCTGTTGTAAAAGTCATTTGTCCCAGCACAACTTTACCATGGCATCTTGACTCAACGTCTCCTATGGGCCCTGGCAAATTCTAGCACTGGAATCACTAGCCATCAATGACAGATTAGGTCAAGTACTTTTACAGAGCACTCCATAGAAACAGGCTGTAGAGGAGAGTGAAAACACAATGTATGGTATGCTCTGCAAGGTCTTTTCATCGGAAGTGTAGGGATGTCAAAGTGACATCATGGCACTTCCTGTCCTATTAATTTCCTTAAAAAAATATAAATATTTTCAAGTTTTTATCAGTTGCAGATCTGAAAAAAAGTCTCTTCAATCTGGCGTAAAGTGGAACTGTAGTAAAAAAATAATATATAGATATGTAAAACGTGCCTATACTGTTTAAAATCCAGTAATACACCATTTCACCAAGCTCTGCACATGCTTAATTACTCTCCATTTTTCAGCACTGCGCCTAGAATGTAAAGGCCAAACTACTGACAGCCTAAAGATTTACTGCTGTTCAGGGGCTCTGGGCTTCAGCAAAATGGCAGCCTCCGGAAAGAATAAAACAGTAACAAATGCTTGAGGCAAATTTCTAGCACACACTAATTTTAATAGCATAATTACTAATGAGGAATGTATGTTCCTTGCTGAAGAACATTTTTTTTTTTTATCAAGCCATTATGGGTAAAGTTCTGCATTAATCTCATCTTTACGTAAAACTATTTTTCCCCTATGCGCGCTGCAATGTAGCATTGAAAGATTAATAAAGCCATCCTAATGTAAAACTCATATGTTCACGTTGAGCTTTACCATTCTACTACGTTATAGGAGTTCCACTAATGTGAAATCTTTTTCATTAGCAGACATTGTTTATTATATTTTGTGATCTATGGGGGTATGCAAATTATGTAAACGTGTCAATAAAAATAATTTTTTTTATCTATTTCCAATAAAAACCAAAAGAAATAAGTGTCAAAAATGAGCACCAAATTAAAGCCCTAGCTGTCCCTAAAAAAAAAAAAAAAAAAAAAAAAAAAAAAAAAAAGATATAGAATACATTGGAATAAACTAAAAAACACAAGAAAGTATGAGTAGTGGAACTGAGACAACACCAAAACAAAGCGATCTGGGGCTCAAGGGCATTCAGGGAGAAAAAAGGCCAGGGATTCAAGTGGTTACCCTTCACAACACAATTGGAAGGGTGTTCACATACTTTTGCCCATATAGTAGATTAGCTGGTCAGTTGTCCACAAACTTCTGGCCATTTAATGTATTTCAGCAAAGGCAGATATGAACCGACATTAAAATTCAGTTACTGCTCCATCGATAGCTCGCCCTAAGGGTGGCTTGATCATACACGCATAAACAACCATCCTCACAAGCCCATAGGTGACCTTAGATTTATAGATTGTTTGTTTAGAACAATTTCCAGACAACTAGGCTACATCACAAAAACGCTTACACAGATTTTATGATATCGTGGCTTATTCTCCGAGTACTGTGGTAAATTTTATTTATAACCTGAAAATGCTAATATTGCAGTAAACAAGAAGAAAAGCATTGGAACAAAACACTAAATATTATTACCCAGCAACACTTGAGGGCATTTCATTCCCCATGACATTTAAAAAAATGCATTCTTTTATTTTGTTATTTCCTCGCCAAAGTACAGAAAGAAGGCACTGGTCGGCTGTGTCAGCTGGATTGCGTCATTTGTCATTTATGAGATCTCTAATGCTCAACCAGTAGGTCAGAGCCACACTGTATGCATGACTGAAGAAATACATCTGCCCCCATGAGAAATGCATACGTCTGACCCCATAAGAAGTTCATCCTTTGTTTTATTTACCACCTATCTGTGGGGCCTGCGGTAATAATAGACTGCTGCAAATAAACCAGTCCAGCAGAAGGAAATGGTCTGAAGACTACACTGAGATATAAGGTATATGTAAACTCAACTAAAATCTCATATTAGCTTTAAATCTCAACTTCGAAATTTAATTTTATATATAGGTTTTTAGTAATATCGCTACAGCTCTATGCCAAAGTCCCTTTTTCTTAGCAGCATTTTGGAGATCAGGACCACTGTGCTCTGTGCGAAAGCAGTAATCTAGATCGCCAAATGATCAAACCAGTTCCTGCAAAGTCAAGACCACTATGCTCCAGGCAACAATGCTCACGCTCTTCTGGTAGGGAGCTCAGGGTTGTTAACACTTTGCAGTTGCAGACTCCACATACTAAAATGAAAGAACAAAAACAGCATCTGCAAATAGAGAAATTCAATTTATTGGCTCTGTGGTTAAACAGTCATGGATTAAAGCCATGAAAATAAAAAAATTTCAATTTGAAATTTTATTTAGCATGTTGCTAAATACTTAATAAGACATCAACACTACAGCCAACATATTCAGGATTTGTTGTTGCTTTTTGTTTTGATTCTTTAGATACTTGGTGATAACCATGTTGTAAAAGCCAAAAAAAACACAAATAGTGGCTATGGTGTAATGCTGGTTTTAGGAATGTTGACATGATCCTTAGAAAGATGTCCAAAAATGTGCAACCTCATTTGGCAAGTCTAGGAATGGAGTTGCCATCCCCAGTTGTCATCATGGTCTCTCCACCACGGAGAGGTCTACATGTTCTTACTCTTTGTTCTCCATCATGGAGAGTTCCTTGATGACTCTTAATTTCCCACTAGCGTCCAAATTTCGCTTCTCCCGTATAAGTTCCTCCAGGCTGTGGAACCTCATGGTATGAATGTTATTTTCTTCCAGGTGGAGCTTCAAGAAATACTGCAGATTGCCCGAATGCACCTCTCCACCAGCTTTGAACTCCCTGTTGCCAAACCTGCACCAGGCTGCAAAGCTCTCAGAGTTAGTCCAGCAGATCTCATCACTTCTTAAGCCAAGGTGTCCACATGCGTTCTGAAGGACCAGCTCAGCAGTCAGGGGCCTGCATCGATACCAGCTACTCACCACCCTGCCCATGCACCCTCCGCCTACCTCGAAAACATTGTCTTTGCGGATCTCCCCACGGTGCAAGTGTATAATCTGTCCCTGACCAACATAGACTGCCCAGTGTGGTGATGGGGGAGGCGGGTGGTCTGCAGCAGGGCAAATAAAGAGCAGCTCCAGGAGATCTCCTGGTTGGCAGAAGGTCAACAAGCCTTGCATAGGATAGACACTGAGGTCCTGGCTGCCCCTGAGCTTGGAAAAGATGCATTCCTGACAACTAAAGGCTGAAAACTCAATTTCGTTGAGCAGAAGATGCCCCTCACATTCGCTTGGACTTGAGTCCCTCACAGTGTATCGTTCAGACTGTCCTCTATCGTCCAGGTCCTCCTCCTCATCCGAGAAAAAGTATGCCACCCCAACTCGCAACTCGTCTTTCTCTATCCCAGAAGGGTCCCCTGTTGGCAGCTCGCTGTAATTCAGGTGGGTGATGCGATCCAGTTGATTTCCCATCAATGACAGGACAAGGCAATAACAGCAGGAACACCAGTTCTGCAAGGATAAAACAAGAATTTTGTTTAGTTTTACTGGAGGAAAAAGCCCAATAGAAAAGCAGTAAATGATCTAGTAACCTTATATCATAGCAATAAAAAAAAAAAAAAAAAACAAACACGTAAAACCTTCAGAAGTATATTAAAAAAGGTAATCAATAGACAAATCTTAATTCACATAAAACTGAACAGCAGGCAATATAAAATGCATATTAGTGTGGCTTTGCATTCATCAATCTACCATTAAACTGTATTTTTTTTAAAGATAAGAAGCACAAGTTCCTGAAACTGACCTGGAATTCAGTCTCTTGCAATCCCTAGTACAGTAAAACTCAGAATGAAAAAGGGATGAAACAGCACAAGCAGCTTCAGCGATTATGAGCTAATAAAAAGGACATGGTAATAGGAGGAGAGGCAGAGTGACCAGGAGATGAGCTTATCCATCTACTGCTTCTCTTTTCACTGTTCAGTCATAGGCTGAGGGAGGACAAGGCCTCTAAATGTTACCAAATTGCAGCAAGGCAAAACAGGTCTACTCAGCTGCAAAATAGGATGTGTTATGTGGCAAAGCTGCATAAATCACAGTACTGGATGGACAGAAATACAAATCCTCCCCCTATACATGACAGCCCTGTATGTATTACAACTGTGTATTTAGCAGTTAACCTAGAGCACAGCTTTAAGTTTAATAAATGAATCTCTGTTATAGGAGTGATGGACATCATCATAAGTGCAATCAGCTAGTCATTAGGAAAATAGCCTGGTGCAAAGTTGTTTGAGAATTTAACTCCATTTAGCTTTGACTTGGTTAGTAATCTAAATGAAAAAAAATACTGGAGGAAGCCTCTAGCAAGCCTCCCATAGGCTGTACAGTATCTGACAAACCATGGGATCAAACATCACTTGACACGAAAACACAATATAATGATGTACGACAGTCAAAGACTGAAGTGTAAATGCAATTATAACGAATAAGGTATTATCTGATTTGACGTCATTCTTGAGGGATTGCTGTATCTCAGTATGTTAGGGAAATCCTAGAACCACACAGATTGAATTTAATCTGGCCAATCTTAAAATTTTAGAGAGCAGAACAGTACAGTGCACATTAAAAGCTCTTTCTACAGATATGGCTGTACCCTGTACATTTATATTTATAAGCTGCAAACACAATTTTTATTAGACTCATTAGAAAAAAAAAAAAAAAAAAAAAAATATAATTATACACACACACACACACTTGCCAAAGTATTGGGATGCCTGCCTTTAAACGCACAGAATTTAATGGCATCCCAGTCTTAGCCTGTAGGGTTCAATATTGAGTTGGCCCACAGCTTGCAGCTATAACAGCTTCAACTTTTTTGGGAGGTCAGGCACTGATGTCGGATGAGAAGGCCTGGCTCGCAGTCTCCACTCCAATTCATCCCAAAGGTGTTCTATTGGGTTGTGGTCAGGTCTCTGTGCAGGCCAGTCAAGTTCCTCCACCCCAGACTCACTCATCCATGTCTTTATGGACCTTGCTTTGTGCACTGGTGCGCAGTCATGTTGGAACAGGAAGGGGTCAGCCCCAAACTGTTCCCACAAAGTTGGGAGCATTAAATTATCCAAAATGTCTTGGTATGCCGACGTCTTAAAAGTGCTCTTCACTGGAACTCTGGAACTGAGGGGCCAAGCCCTGAAAAACAACCCCACACCATAATCCCACCTCCACCAAGCTTTCCACTTGGCATAATGCAGTCAGGCAAGTACCATTCTCCAGGCAACTACCAAACCCAGACATGTCCATCGGATTGCCAGACAGAGAAGAGCGATTCATCTCTCAGAGAATATGTCTTCACCACTAGAGAATCCAGTGGCGGTGTGCTTTACACCACTGCATCCGATGCTTTGCATAGCACTGGGTGATGTAAGGCTTGGATGCAGTTGCTCGGCCATGGAAACCCATTCCATGCAGCTCTCTACGCACTGTTGTTGTGCTAATCTGAAGGCTACATGAAGTTTGGAAGTCTTTAGCTATTGACTCTGTAGACAGTTGTGCACTGTACACTTCAGCATGCGCTGACCCCACTCTGTCATTTTACGTGGCCTACCACTTCGTGGCTGAGTTGCTGTTGTTCCCAGTTGCTTCAACTTTGTTATAATACCACTAACAGTTGACCGTGGAATATTTAGTAGCAAGGAAATTTCACAGATGGACTTATCACACTTGGACTTATGGACAGATGCACAGGTGGCAACCTATCACTTTAGCATGTTTTAATTCACTGAGCTCCTGGGAGTAACCCATTCTTTCACAAAATGTTTGTAGAAGCAATCTGCATGCCTAGGTGCTGGATTGTATTCACTTGTGGCTATGAAGGGGATTGGAACACCTGAATCCAATGATTTGGAGGAGTGTCCCAATACATATAATACACACCCCCCCCCCATTATCTGTATTCACTTCCTTCTACAGGGTAGTTATAATAGGCGCTATAAGGGGGTGAGAGCAGCATTAAGCTTAGTTGAGATGTAGGCAGGAATTCCATTTTAAAAAATGTACAAACAGGGAATTATGGGTATTCCAAAATCTTTGACAAATTGCAAGATTTACATATTAGATCGCGATCGGGCTCAGGTAAGCATAAGGGGGGCTGGAGGAGGGAGCAGCACACAGGAGAGGCAGAAAATGAGAATACATTAAGGTAACAAAACTCTGCCTTTAGAATCACTTTAAAGTGATTAAAAATATAATATAACATAATATATATACATACATACACACACACACACACACACACACACACACACACACACACACACACACACACACACACATACACACACACACACACTTACTTTTAAGTGGTTCTAATGGCTCATGGTTTTTTTACCTTACTATATCATATGCATTACAGGGAAAAAAAGAAAAAAAGAAAAAAAAAAAAAAAAAAAAAAAAAAGTGTCACAAACTGGCCCCCTTACCCCCCTTATACTTACCCGAGACCCCATCGAAATCCAGCACAGTGCACAAGAGATGCGGCTCTCCTGGGTTTGTCCCTCTCCTCACTGGGCAGATCGATAGCATTGGGAGCCATTGGCTCCTGCTCCTGTCAATCAACTTCAGTGAAGAGGGATTTGTGAGAGAGCCTGTATGAGTATCCCAATGGGAATTGGCTTCCTTTTGGGGCACCAACAAAAGAGGAGGAGCCAGAAGAGGAGGATCGGTGCCACTCTGTGCAATTCTATTGCACAGAGCAGGTAAATAAAGCATGCTTGTTATTAAAAAAAAAAAAAAAAAAATTCCTTTACAATAACTTTAAACACTTTCAACAGCCAATTTAATCACGGAGTATGCAGCTTTATTTTTAATATTATTATATAGGATTTATATAGTGCCAAACACTTATATAAAGGGGACCTTACTGCAATACAGACGGAATGGAGAGCCCTGCTTATGCAGGTTACAATCTAAAGGATTATCTTTTAACCCTTGCCCATATTCCAGTTGACGCTGGTGCCATGACCACTGCCACAGGTTTCCTATTTCAGGGTCACTCCTTTCTCTTGCTGCATCCTATGGAGCCACCCCTGCATACAGGGACGAGAACGGTGTCTCCATACACCAGGGGTGTCAAGCCTTTTAACCTTCCTGTGTCACATTGGAAGAAGAGAAATAGTCTTGGGCCGCATTTGCTCGGGCACGGCAACCCATTCATGTAAATAGGCTGCTGTGCCTGTGTTTTATGCAGGAAAAAGGGTTCCTGCATAATATTTTAAATCGCACTGGCGGGTCCGGCACCTGAAAGCGTTCTGCGTTTTTACATGCATTGGGGTGCCATTAAGAAAGAGCAGCACGTGTTAGCCAAACAGCTGCGATTCCCACACCCAAAACTACCCACAATAGTATGAACCTAGCCCTAATTCACAGAACGTTTGTAAAATTCGTGATTTTTACATGTCTGTGAATATCTGTTACAAACATGCAGACTGCATGTCCATAACTGACATTCATGGACAGATGTAAAATTCATGGACTTTATAAACTGCTCTTGAATTTAATGATGGTTGGCAACTCTGGTATGTGCTGTGTAGGGAGGTTGTGGGCAGTGGGCTTTGGGGGACAATGGAAATCTGGGGGGGGGGGGGGGGGCACAGCCTTCCCCAACACCCCCCTGATACTGCCAAGAGGCATTTACTTGCCTGACACAATGTAAACAGAATCACTGCATTCACTGTTGCCAATGCTTTTACAAAAACGGAACTCCTGGTGTCCCTTCAGCTGTGCATGCTCCTGCATCATTTGTGCCAACATGGCCTCTATTCATATACGTATGCAGCATCCCCTGCGTCCCTCCATACATGCCAGCCACCATGGCTTCTATTCGTCAGTGATCCTCCAGACATGACCGAGCTGCATGCTGAACTCTCCTGGGCCGCAGGCTAGGCACCTCTGTCCTACACTGTGTGTATCAACAGAAACACACAACTCCACAGCCTAGGATGGGCAAAAAAAAAAAAAAAAAAAAACTCCTCCTCCCCCAATTTCTCCAAACTAACAGACTGGCTGGAGACTACACTGTCCACTCTTAAATCTTTCCTGTAATGAAGATCTGAAGTTCAGAGAAGCAGCACTGGAAGCGCAGAAACCAGCAGCATTAAAAGCTGTAAACTGGAAAGGGTGGGGTGCAAATGTTAATTTGAGGAATGTTTATTCTACTGTGCTCAAATTACAAACACATTGAGGGTTTATTGCTACTTTAACTATGTGCAACAAAAGCAAAGTTGTACTTCTTTCCCCATGTTACTAAAGCCATCTCTAAGACCTAATTGCGGCCATCAGTTGCCTGGTTTACAAAAGTTGCAACTGGTATCAAGCCAGACATCCTGTTCACAATGTAGGGTAACGCAAATGCTGGCCAGAAGATTGGGGCCTCCTCTGCATGTTGGCTTCTGGCCAGGCTGGCCACTGTTCCCCCTCAC